AGTTTCATTAGAATTGAAACTAAAATCTAAATAAATTGGATATAGATAATAAATTCACACCAAGTTATGTATAAGTGCATGCTTAACATAAAAATGTCTTAAATTATTTCTTTAAAACTAAGCAAAATACAAATTAAAGAGGAGGGAGGTCAAGGTCACAGGAATGTGCAAGGTGAAGTTTTTGATGCAGTTGAATAGCTCTCACTAATACATATCAGCATATTATGTTTGATAAAAATATCTTGAATGTTTTTATATAACTGAGCTTAACACTTTTTTTAAGAAAAGAGAGGTCAAAGGAAAGATTGGGGTCAATACGTTGTTGCAGTTTAAAAGCTCACATCAGTATGAATGAAGTGAGGTCAAGTTCAAAAGAAAATTCAAGGTCAAAATAAGTTGATGCATTAACAGCTCTCAGCAGTATGTATTAGCATATGCAGTTTGATAAACATGATAAATAATGTATCTTGAATTGTTTATTCAAAACTGATCTAAACATTAATTCTACAAAAATGAGGTCAAGGTCACAGGAAATATCAAGGTCAAAAAGAGTGAAGCATTGTAAAACTTACATTAGTAATCTATGTATCATCATGTGAAGTTTCATTACACAACTTGAATGGTTTCTTTAAAATAAAGCTATAAACACTTATTTAAAGAAAAGTTAAGTGAAGGTCAAAGGAAAAGTCAAGGTAAAAAAATATTGCTGCAGTTGGATAGTTTACATCAGTAAATGCATCAACATATGAACTTTGATAAGAATATCTAGAAAGTTTCTTTGAGCTCAATGGAAAGACAGATGGAAGGGTGGAGGATGGACATGAGAAACACTATACATGTATTCCTAATCATGGCGTGGCATAAAAAACTTGAATCTACATTAAATGAGGATGTTTCCATATCAAGATTATACCAGCAAATTCAAAGAATTGTGGTCCGCTGCTTTCTGTATTTTAGTGAATGGGATGCCATCATTTATGGCAGATTGTGAGTCAAATATGCACCCCTATCATATGTCAATTTATGAAAATTAGGTCAAAGGGGAAAAATCATAGCATGCTCGGAAATATTTTGTTGCAGGTAATGTACATGTCAAATATGAAAGTCCCATCTCTTTTCAATCAAAAGTTATATATTATATAATATAATATTTTTGAAAAGTAGGTTAAACTTCTAGGTCAAGGTCACAGAGTCAAACGTCATGATATATTTAGAAAAGTCTTTTCACATGGAATATACATGTATAATTTGAATGCCCTATCTTTTCTCTTTTAATATGATCAGTTTAAAATGTTATTTTTTTGAAAGTAGGTAAAACTTTAAGGTCAAAGTCTCACTTGAGTTAAAAAATCATAGTACATTTACAAAGTTTTGTGGTAATATACATCATAACATTATTCAAAAGTTATGACCAAGGTTAAATTTATTAAAGATGCACATGCTGTCAAAGATGGACAGACTCAGACAGACAAATGAGATTTAATGTTCCCTCCCTTTTCCAAAAACGGGGGACAATAATGCCCTTGCTGTTCTTGAGAGGAAGATATATGATGGAAAAATCAATCCCCTTCATATTTCTTAACGCAAATCAATATTGTGTTTTATGTCATCCATATAATCCCTATTTACCGCCACTGCCCCTATAGGCGCCCCCTTACATGTAGGTATTCATGTATGCAAACTACTACTTGTTTTTTACATTTTTACAAGTTTATATATACAAATACATGTAGTTTAATGTGGTCCATCTCTTTGAATGGTTTTCATTCCTAATCATGTAATTCTAGGAGGATACGTTGATGAATAAAATGTCAAGCAATTTTATCATTGATGCACTTTTATTCAATTTAATGCAGTCATATTGTGAACATTTCCAGTTCATTAGGAGAGTGGGGATGACCTCCAGGGGTTCCCAGCAACCTTTATACCATTAAATTTACATAACATAACACAAAAAAAATTATGTATCGTCAAATGGAAAAAGTTTCCTACTAGGCTATTTAGGAGTCACATGATCATTTGTCATTACAGGGACAGGGAGTTGATTTGGAGATCCCCCCCCCCCTCCCCTGGAATTTGCAGGACTATAATATATACTGAAGCAAATAAAAACAACGGGCGATAACTCTTCAGAATGTGAAATTCGTCGTATATTCTTCACTCATTATTTGACAGACTACACCTCAAATAATACAACACATAAGCTGTAAGCCAGGCTAGCTTAGTGGGAGCAGCTGGCATTTATTTAATAACAATTCATAACAAACAGGCATACATTATTGTGTATGTAATCGATGAAGTACTGCAATGTTTTGGTTAACTATGCGTTACATGCTATGCATTATACCCCTATCAAAGACATTAAAAACCGCCCAGGAAAAAACCATAGACGAGTAACTATGGAAAACCTGTGTCCGTCGCTATGTAAATAATGCCTCAAGGGAGAATGTCGGACGTGCATTCGGAGCAGTACTTGGTATGCATAAACACCGTTTATGTACATGTACAATAGAGCAAAATCAAAATATATGACAATATTACATATATATATAATATATTACATATATCTACGTAATAATTTGAATATAGATATAAACAAAAACACGTGTGTGTTCTGCGGAGCACTGGCTTAGAATGATCCAACACCTCACGAAATACCACCTTCTCATTGGCCTTCCTTTGGCCACGCCTACCATAAACAGGCATTTCCAATAAAATACGTTCCTATCATACAATGTTTTCCCGCTATTCTACGAAACGCGGGAAAACTTTATTATTGCAGCATCGGATGACCTTTGATTCTTTAAACTTTAACCTAACCAGTTGTATTTCAGACTATTTTACCCAAATCTATACCAACTCTTGTACTTACCGACTGTCATAGGTCCCGTAAACTTCATGAATCATAATCCAAGTAAAACACAAAATAATTCCTACTGACATATCTGCAATGATGTTTAGGCCTACACCACACTAGTAGGCCTACTGCACGTGCAGTCCAATCTAAAAATGATAATGGTAAAACTAGTACTTAAGTTGGGTACGTGACGCAAGCCCAATGTGATACATTTATAGTACAAGAACAAATTTTAAAATTATCATTTACATAAGATGTTTTATCTTAACTTTGCCATCTAGGCTTATTTGCAAAAACAGGCAAATAGGGTGTGTTTGTGTGTGTGTGTGTGTGTGTTGATCGGAGAGGGGTGGGGGATTGACTAAATTGATTGGGTATATGGCAGCTTTCAAGGTGTTTCTGCCTAATCAAATATAAAAAAGCTTGTACATTTTGAAAAAAATCATCAAAAACGCTTTGCACTAATTTGAATAATATTATTTGTTGTTAATCTATATGAGAAAATAGATTTAAAAAGTATTAATTATGGGCCAAAAATCTATATCCCCCCTTTATCAAACCTAATTTACATCATTAATTAAATTCTGTTGTTAAATTTCAGACTGGTAACGAATTAAGAAAATGAAATACCTATAAGATCGAGGCCCATGGGTCACATGGTCACCTAAGCATATTATGCTCCAGGGGCGGATCCAGCAATTTTTGAAAGGGGGGGTCCAGGGTTGTGTCCCTCTAACCCCCACCCCCCTTTTACACACTCTCAGGCAAAGATTCACACACACATGAATGGAAAAATATAAGATTGTGGAAAATAATATCTTTATTCTACGTCCTTTTTTCTTTGAAAAGGTACCCCCTGTCTGTATTAAGCCTTATAATTGAATGGATTTGCAGCATTTCCGAAGAGTAGAATGAATTTTCTTCAAGAATTTGAAAATCCTTTTTGGGCTGGGTATAAAACAATGAATTAAATTTTAGTTCCTTCATAAGATTTAGTTTAAAAAATGGCACCTTCTTGTATATAGCCAACACAGCCAAATTAAGATCGCAGGAATGTAATATCAAATTTAACGTCGCATGTTATGTTACATATCATATATATTAAGATATATAAAAATAAGTAGAATATTTTCTACCATTCACTCATAAAAAGTAATAGTGAAGGTGAATGGAGAAAACTAAATGTGTGAGAATCTATCTATTCAATACATATTTCAGTAAGACGTACAAATACTTATTCTCGGGAAACGTTTTATCCCTCTTTATCTCTTTTTCCACCTGGCAAAAAATAAAAGGGGGGGGGGGGGTGTTCCAACCCCCGGAACCCCCCTCTGGATCCGCCAATGTGCTCAATTTGATGAATACATGTATTGTGTAAATTATTGAATTATATTGACTTTTTCCTTGGTAAAGCCCAATTTGAAGGAGTGTGCATTTAGAGACAAACACCTTAGTGCGGGTATTACTGTCTCATGACAGCATCTAGTTAAGGGAAGTTGAGATAGAAAAGTTAAAGTCATTAAATTTATCATAGAGCTTTGTTGTTAGATTACCATTAACATCTTTTTCAAGTAAAATATCCAAGTATGAAACGGATGTCTCAGAATCTGTGGGTATCTTTTATCTCAAGTTTACCAGGATGTATCGTATCGACTTAAGAATGGAAATCACCATTGTAAATTGTCAATACGTCGTCGATATATCTAAATGTCGAATTCAATCTTTTGTTTTAATCTAACTTAATGAATTGACCTCCAGATTCATTCTTAATGTTAATTTGCAGCAATTTCTCACATTTTTCTTAAGATTTTGGATTTTTTGTAAATCTCTTTGAGGTATAAATTTGTTAAAAATATGAACTTTTTCGGTAGGGCACTGTCAAATGCCCAAAATTCTTTGACAAGCAAATAAGGATCATCAGACGTTTTTTATTGAGGGTACAATGGCATATATTAGCTATCTTTACTAAAGAATTCTATATTTATCAGCAAAATTATTTGGGGCACACCCCCCTTTGTTCCCGCGGCCATGTCTAATGAAAGATCTAATCAATTCGATAGTTCATATAAACTACAGTTATCTATTTTTACTGTCTGTTGTCAACCATGTGATAATTTTCTCGCAGTACCCTGTATTCTTGGCCGTGGCGATCCCACGAGATCTACACATATACCTGCTGTCCTGGCTACGGAGGATCAAACTGCCGTCGTAAGTAAAGTAACAAATAAAACATATTTTTCTTTAAATTATATTGAGATTATTAGCCATGATTCTCGTTTGCTTCATATACGTGTCGTGGGTCCTTTGTAGGTATTTTTTAATCAGTAACCATAGTATATAATATACTCTCGAGATCTTATCCCATTAATTAGATTCAATCACCTAAAATGTTGAGTAAAATATTTTCAGCTCTTAATTTTTTTATGTGAATTCAAAAAGGAAGGTTGTTCATGGTAAAATTAACTACTCATAAATTAAATCTTGCAATGTTTCCTTTTTAACAGATTAATTATATGTAATTATTTGAACTGTTTTAACAAACGTTGTCGAAAAAAGAGGCTCTACCAGTGTTAATAATTCTGTTCTTGTCAATTTTTCTTGTTGTTCTTGTTCATAGTAAAGGGTGAATCCTTTAATAAATCTATAAAAAATATTATATTTAAAATGTATACTTTCTTATATAGCAATATCGAATTAGCTAGAGGACCAAGGACAAGTGTTAAGGGTCAGGGGCACGAGTGGGTTCCCTACTTTTTAAAAAGCAGCTGTTTATTATACATGTATCTGCGCTTTAATTTATCGTGGGAATGGTTGTAAAACGTGTGAAAAGTCTAACGTTTTGATCTTATTGATTTCGTTAATATATTTTTATTCCAAATTTTCTAAAAGTTCCTTTGAGTTTTTAGGTATCCACATTCGATTTATACCACTTCTCAAATATACTTTCGTACAGTACTCGTGAAGTTTCTTCTTTATTTGTTGTTAATATTTTAGTGAAAAGTAGAGAAAGAGGCTTGGTACAACATTTACTGTAACCTGCTATATAAGTATCTTTGTTTGTAAGGACGTTTATGAAATTTTGGAATCCAGTATTGGTATTGTTATTCAAGCTCATTTTGATTGTTGGGAATAATAAAATATTTAAAACTTTAAAAGGTTTCGTCAAAGGTCAACATGTCCAAAAATTTATTTTTACAATAACTCCAAAACTATGATATGTTTAAAGTTAAAACTTTTACAGTTTATAAATTTTTCATTGATTAACAGATAGAAAGTATCATTTGATAAAAAAAAAATACTAGGAAAAAAATTTAAATTGAGAAAAAATCTTTTGTAAAATGAATATTTTTTCAGAAAATGCACCTAATGAATTCCGTGCTTTTAGTGAAAACCATCACTGCAGAGACAAAATATGTTTATCAATGAAGGGCAATTGGACTCGGATAGCCTCTGAAAAGTTGTTTTCCCAGTTTATTTTGTCCAAATGTTAAGACTTGAAAGCGAAAGTACATTGCAAATGGCAGGTTCTACAGGGGTCTTGTCTTTATACAGTAACATGTCATGCTTTCAATAACAGCCTTGCAGAGACCATTCACGTCCAACTTGACCTTCAATGATAAACATATATTATTTCTGCAATGATGGTTTTCACAAAAAGGACAGAATTAAGCAGGTGCATTTCTCTTTAAATATGCCCATTTTCTGATACAATTTTTCTCAAAAAATATCTTTTTAAAAATATTTGTTATCAAGTGATACTTTCTATCTATTAATCAATGTTATTATATTTAAATTGTAAACATTTTGACTTCATACCACACATAGTTTTGGAGCTATTGTAAAAATAATTTTTAGACATGTTGACCTTTGACGAAACCTTAAGTATGGTTTTGAAGAATTTACTCCTTGGACAGAGAGCTATGGTTATAAGTTGGATAAATATTATAACTTGCAGAATCAAATCCTAGTTCCTCCATCGTACATTTCAAATAATTAGCCATACATGCAAAAACAATGTTGTTACACGTGTACCTGCTTTGTCAGCGGGTACCAGAATATAATGATCGTGTAATCTATCTTATTCTAATTTTTACTTTTTCATTAACGAAGGTAGAAGGATAAATGGTTTTCATATTGCTCCTCAATCACTTAATGCGCAATTACGATATACATTTGATACATTTAATCCATTCTGAGAAAGTGTCATTGTCTTCTTTTTTATATTTGCCTATCGTTTGCTGTTATTTTCTACTGAATTTATAAAACATGCATTTATGAAATTATGACGCCAATTGAAAAATTTGTGTTCCCTAAATTTTTCCTTCTTATATTAAGTGGTTTTCGGGCTTCATCAAGACAAAGGATCATCTAACAGACTTAGACTTTAGTCAAAATTTATCAATTGCAAGGGTTATGGTCACTCCTCCAAGGCACCTAATCCCACTTCTGATGTTTTGGAGGTCCATGTTCGCTCTGCTCCTATTTGATATTGTTAAATGGATTTTTGAGCTTAAATACAGTTCGTTATCTCCATGTTTTTCACTGAAAAATATTTATTAAATAACAGATTAATCTCTAAATTTACAGACAAAAAAACTTGTGTACAGCAACTTTAAAAACATTTATGCGTTTGCTTAATTTCTACAACTTTTTACAAAAGCATAAAACTTTTGACTTAAGTTTAAGATGTTTCATGATCCCTGGACCAGAACTTAAATGAATATACTTTTAGGGTGAAGAAGTACATGAACACGTTGTAGAATTAGGCTTGAGATATTCGATAATTAAAAAACTTGAAAGAATAGAACGAAAAGCAACTTGGAAAATGACTTTTGTCCAGAATATGGTAAAAAGACCTACACGTTTTAAGTTGGTGATTTTTAAGAACATAAGAGTTCATTTCACCAGGTTTTTAACATTTTCTACATTCCTAAAATTTTTGACTGAAGTCTAAGTCTGTTTCATGACCCTAGGGCCTCATCTCATCTCTGACATTTACGAACTTTAAAGTTATTACTTTCCCTCTTTTTTGTTTATTGGCAAGCAATAATATTTTTATCGGTTTTGGCCAATCACAGTTGATTCCATGCGAGGTATCCAGCAAGTGTCAATATTAACGCATACATGAATAAATTTACGTTTTCTTTATGTGTGCTAGAGTTTAAATGACTTCAAAAACGGATATACATTCTTTTTCTTCGGAATAAAGTTTGTTAGTTTTTGGGTGGTTCATTTGTGGTTCAAGCTGCGTCCGACTAATACTTTATTTATTTGTTGACTAGGTAATTTTCTGCACATGCATTCTGGCATTTGTGGACCATAAGTTCGTCATCAGAATACTTGTGTATACAATCAGAATGATTTTAACAATTATTTTGCAAATAACCTTTGACATGGTAAGTAAATTGCTGGTCTGTTTGTAAAAGCAACTGTCAATGATGTAAGAAAACATATGTATTTCCAGCTCTTTGTACCGGAAATTGTCATGGACGAGGTACCTGTATAGGACCAGACACCTGCAGCTGTAGATGGGGGTATACCGGAAATGCCTGCCAAAAAGGTAATATATTATATTATATTATATTATGTTTATTCACCAATCAAGGGCCCACAGGGGGCATGAACAATTATTACAAAATGATAACATTGATTACAATTCTATATTAAGGATAATGTAACATGACTAGTGATTAAGTTTGACATTGAGAAGTGCATCACCACACTGGATCAAAAGCATAGAAACCATAGAATGATAAAAGAAAACACAATTAAATAAAAATGATAGATATAAGGTAAATTAAAAAAAAAAAATAAAAAAAAAATAATAAAAAATCTTGTAGTAATGGCAGTACTCTAATATAAAACTAGTGCATCTTGAATACAAAGGGCACCAGGGGATGATACCTCTACACAGCCAGTCTGGCAAACCTGTACCCTAAGTATTGAAGATGGTCATTCAAAAAAAATCATTTAAGTATTAACAGAAATAGTAATTTCATAATAAGTACTTAGCATATAATTAGAAACTTAATGCAAACTAATCTCTTGGAGTTAGTTCAATAGATATTTGACATATGCATACCCACATACACAAACACACAGTTACTGTTACACAAATCCGTGCATACAAAAATAATAATTTATATACAAACATATGTATGTATAGTATATATTATAAACATACACTTATTGTTACACATATCCATGCATACAAAAATAATAATATACACACAAATATATGTATATATATAAACAAATGGTACTATCCTGTATAAATGTAAATCTGTGATCTTGAAGGTAGCATACAATTAATGTAAAGAAAAGGTAACTTGGATACAGAGGGTACCAGGGGACGATGCCTCCGCACAACCGATTATACTGGCAAACCCGTACTCTAAGTATTCAAGACACCCATTCTGACTGATTCTGTACATTTAAGAAGGGAATGAGGGGACACATTAAATTTCAAAAGAAAAAAAAAAAAAAAAGTAGACCCAACACAATGCCATGACGTAGGAATAAACTCATTACAAAATTAATCTATAAAATAAACCCACCACAAAATAATTATGTAAGAATACACCTATTACAATGTTATTTAAAAATAAACATTGCAAACTTAAGTCATCACGTAAAAATAAATCACTCACAAAGTTATCATAAAAGTTTATTTATAGGCCATAATCATCTATAGTCAATCTGAGGTCAATCAAAAGTTCTTTAGAAGATATATGTTATTATCAACCACAATAAAAAAAATTACCAATCTCAATACAGACCCCAATAACATTGTGAAAAAAAGTCATGTAAATAAATGAAATGAGGTTCACAGAGGCGACATTACATCCTTACCTGAAAACTGAAAGTATTTTTTTTTATTTAGCTTGAATGATAGATTGCATTACAAGATATACACGTCTAATGAATCCAATCCTTTGTGTACAAATTGATTGACTGATTGATTGTATGTTGTTTTACGTCTCTCTCGAGAATTTTTCACTCTTATGGAGACGCCACTACTTGCCTGTGGAGAGCTGCAAATTTTGTCCTATATTTGGCATATACGACCATTGAGTAGTGAGGTTTTTTCGTGCCAGTACCTACTGCTACACGGCACCTTGATTTATACGGTCTCATCTGAAGGACCGGTCTCCATGTCCCACACTGGGATTCGAGCCCGCGACGTAAAAATCAACAGTAGGGGGAAAAACCAGAGTTCTGGGACAGTAGCCTCCCATAGAGTTAACATGGAGTAGCCTCCGATAGCCTCCCAAGGTGTGAGGCTACCTATGACGTCATACAGATGGCTAATTTACTCATTAATTAATTATGTATTATTATTATTTTTTATATTTAGAAACCAATCATAAAAGCTAAATAAATTATAAAAAATGATTGATTGATTGATTGATTGATTGATTAAGGAATACCGTGGTATGTGTTACATAATTCATTAGTTTACAATGATGTGTATATGTTCGCTAATTTCTTCTGTCTTTTTTCCATTTGCCTTGGTTAGGAAGTTTTGACTCTAACAAAAATGAAAATTTGATGATTAATGACTAAGTTAAAGCTAGTTCAATTGTTTTTATGTTGCAGTTTTTAAAAAAAAAATCCATGATACCAATTGTAAATGGTGATGAAAAAATGATTAGTATTAAACTGAGGTGTTACATATTTTTAGCAAATATGCATATACGAATTTTTTTTCCCCTTAGAACATCGGATCTCAGTTATGTACTCAATACTTTACAGGTTATGATCCCAAACATTACATGCACAGTCCATGTATCACTCTTTATCATAAAAAAAAATCAATACAATTGTACATATTTTATTATCTCCGTTACAATAATGAAGCTTGGGTCGGAGAGCCATCCCAAGTCCACTTTACAATGACCTACACCCTAATATATAATATACAAGTAAAATATTTAAACTATCCATGTAAGAGTCATCTACCATCCACCATACCATACTTCAAACGATCTGTGTGTATGTACGTTCTTTTCAATGTGATGGAATCCAAAGTTTGATCTTTTCTGGGTAGTACACTCTTCTATTTACAACTCAGATATATCAAAAGCATTAACCCAAGAATTAAATTTCTTTGGATAATGAAGCCATTTTACAAAATATTGTTTTTGTCTACCCTTTCCTCTTGTTTTTAAGACCTTTTCTACCTTCCAGAGGTCGTCCTCTTTTACGTCTACTTTTTGAAGTTCTGATTGATAGAAGGTTCCTCTGATTTCTTCTTCATCAAAATCCTTTACCCTGTAGACAGGTAGTCCACCACGTAAAATTCTTTGTGAAATTATGAATATTTCCCCTGTCCACTTTTCATCATATTCACGGGAGAATGGATTCCTGATATGGGTGAGTCTAACCTTATCACCAATTTTAAATTTGAAAGGCTTTCTTATTGTTTTTGATTTTTTAATGACCGTATTATCTTTTGGCCAATACATTCTCCACCATACAGCTGTTTCATTTTTACTGTTAACATTTTGAGGTGCCATGCCAATCGTTCTGTGATATGAGTTATTGTAGCTTTTCACAAATGTTTGAAGTTTGTCTATGTATTCATACGATTGTTGGTAAGTCATGAATCGATAAATCCTCGTTTTAACAGTTTTGATGACACGCTCAGCAATTGCAGCTTTGGTTTCATTCTGAGCATAGAGGTGTGTTATCTCATAACTGTTGAAGACTTTCTGAACTTCCTTGGATCGAAATTCTTGTCCTTTATCTGTTCGTATTCTTTTGGGCACTCTACCTTCTAGAAAAATTTCCCGCAATGCATTGGCAACGGAAATTCCTTTTTTGTCTTTCAAAGGATGCATCCAAAGATACTTTGAGAGAACATCAATAACAACCAAAATATACATGTATCCATCATTATACTTGGCAAACTTGACCATATCCATGAGATCAGCAGACCATTGGTCATCTATGCCGGTTACCATTATTTTGTTTCTTCGAAATCGTCTTCGTAGTGGTCTTTGTAAACTGTAGGCCTCTTGGTTTTGTAACCATTTCCTTATTTTATATTTGCTTATCACATATTTACCATCTTTCCTAACATATCGGAATAATTTGTCAGGTCCAGAAAAACTACCAGCATTACTTGGATTGTAATAAATTTCATGTAAATAATCCTCCCACGACATGTTTCCTTTTCAATGTACAGCAGCAAAGTGAACGCATAACAATATGTCATCTATATTTAAGCATGGAATGTTCATTCATCATTTTCATCCCCTTCTGAATCTTCCTCTGATTCACCTTCGTTATCGGTCTCATCATTGTCGTCTTCAGTATCTGTTTCTTCGTCATCTGTTTCCAACATCATTTCTTCAAGTAAATGTTTGTATTTCCTTAGAGTCATGCGAATTGCTGGTAAATTTTCATAACCCTTTTTGAGAAACTTTTTAACACTTTTCATGACTTTCTCGTGGATCTTTCCATCTTTTAAATCTAAAAAGTCTAAGATTGAATGACCATATAAATCTAAAAACGTGATGAAATCAGTTTCTTTCATTTTGTTATCTGCTTTTTCTTCAGCGTCCTTTTTAGATAATCCACTGTTTTTGTATTTTTCGACTTTTTCAGACCAAATTTCCTCGTTTTTAGCTTTGGATCTTTTTCTTATTCTTTTAAAATAGTCTTCTTCTGCTGATGTGTCAGAAGACTCGCCATCAGATTCAATCTCGAATTCATCTGACTGAAGTATACGAGATCTCTTTCTGTTTGTTTCCTTCTCATCATCATCCAGTTGTAATTTTCTTTTACGGCTATGATTCTCTGGACACCATCTCTTAATATGTCTTTGAAGGTCATGAGTACTCTCAAAAACAAGACCACAATCGTCACAGGAAGCCATGATAGATTTCAAATATGAAGGAAAATCGGTGTCAGTAGACAAACTGTTTTCTTCTTCAGAGTTACTAGGTTGCGTCCTTTCTTCTCGAAAAGATTTCTGCGAATGACTTATCGTCTCAAGTTTGTGTTCTTTTATAGATGTGTTGGTGAATACATCACTGCGCATGCGCATTGATTCGGGTGTTGTTGGCTTTAAATCAATCAATAAATATCCGTAAGGTTTTTCTGTGGCCTCTTTAAAATGTCGCATCAAATGCTGAGAGTTTCCTGGATACATTTGTCGAGCAAGTGTCATCACTTGTTGTTTATCAATTGGGTTATTAAACAGAATAATGTAATGGCAATTACGTCTTTGAGTCGGGTCCTTGTTGTAAAACAAAATCTGGTTAATGGCAATGATTGATAAATTCCTATGATGACTTCCCTCCGTAAACAATTCATTGATTCGAGGATCTTTTGAGGTACTTGACATCATATCATCTAAAATCAACAAATTTCTTGTTTGAGGATTTAAAAAAGAATCTTCTTCTAAATCTATTGGTATCCCTTTAATGAATTCCACTCTGGGGGAAACCGTGTTCTTAATGACATCATACAAAGGTTGCCAACGTTTATAAAGCCAAATTATTCGTTCTGGTGGAGGATCAATTTTGGTTAAACAGTTCTGTAACAGTAATT